CAAACATGCCAAGCAGCATTGGACCGATTAGCACTGGCTGTCAATCGTTTTGGGCTATGCTTTGCTCCATCGAAATACAAAGTACTTCCCCAAGATTGGCAGGGACCCAACCCTGCGCTAACGCTTGATGGTGATCTGCTAGAAGTCGTTCAGGAATTCAAGTACCTGGGCAGCTATATTATCACCCGTGGGACTGAAGATGAGGTTACGAACCGTATAGCAAAAGCTCGAGGTGCTTTTGCCAATCTCCGCCACCTGTGGCGCAGCCGCGACATTACTCTCGCCCTGAAGGGCAGAGTTTATAACGCAGTCGTCCATTCAACTCTCCTATATGGTTGTGAAACCTGGCCCATCAGGTCGACAGACATAAAGAGGCTCGTCATATTCGATTATCGCTGCCTTCGCAGCTTAGCTCATGTCTGGTGGGAGCACCGCGTGAGCAATAAGCGTGTTCGACGTCGCGTATTTGGTGCAGAAAGAGCGAGTGAAGCGCTCAGCACCATTGTATCACGCACCAGGCTCCGATGGCTGGGCCACGTGTTGCGCATGCCAGCACACCGACTCCCGCGACGTGCATTGTTTGCGCGTTGTGGGTGCGGTTGGAAGAGGAGGAGGGGAGGCCAAGCGATGACTTGGTCGAGAGAGATGAAAACCCTCACTTCGAAACTGGCGTCGGTTGGTGCATCCCGACTGCCTGGCTGGGGTCCTAAGGACGATGAACACGTTTGGTTGGACACACTTGCTGATATGGCGAAGAGCCGGCCCCAGTGGCGTTTGTGTTGTGAGTTCTTTGTCCATCCTCCTGCTTAGCATCCTCCTCTAATCACGATTTCACTCGTTAGGCATAATATAACTCTTTTTACGGCACGATAGCCAGCTGTTAGCTCTCCGGAACGATGTCCATCCGTTACTGGGGACTCAGCCGGCGTGTCACTGTTTTCCTTTTCTTGTCTTTTGTATTGCGGCACAATAGCTGAGGTGCTTTCCACCTGCAGATAACGTGTATTATAATGATGATGATGGTTGATGATGCACGAACCACCTTTCACGAAACCATGCTGTGCGGGCGTCAAGAGGCTTTTCGATGCGGGAAGCTGCAGAAAACCCTTCTTTACGATCTTCTCAAGCGTCGATGCCAAAAGATAGGTCAGGTAGATCGGCCGATAGTTATCCACTTTGATTGGGTCACCACTTCGGCATTGGCTGTACGACTGAGTATTTCCAGTTATCGGTAATAAACGAGTGGATAGTGACCTTTTGAACAGCTCAGTTACAGAAGGCGAGATGATGGCCGATAGGAATTTGGGGATCAGTGGGTGGATTCTATCTGGTCCGACAGGCTTCATCCCGTCAAGACTTGCCATCAGCTCGCGTACATCTTCAATGTTGCAATCCAGGCTGTCAAGTTTAGCGGGGGGCGGTACCCGTCAAACTCGGTACAGACACCCAGACACTTGTAAATACGGAAGTGAAGTGCGCGGCAAATGCGGACGCGCGATCTGTGCTCGAGGTTAGGGGTTGTGCATCTGAATGTTCCAACACTGGCACATTGCCTGCAGACCACAGACGCAGCTTCACGTAGGCAAAGATCCTCTTGACAGCAGTTTTTGCCGCGGCTGTAAGCTGCGCTTCGAAGCTTCTGCGGTTTTTTTTGTTTTCGCATTGTTGCAGAGATTTCGCTTACCTTGTACGATTTGTAACCTTTGTCAGATCCAGATGACAAGAATTTGCTCCATAATCTGCGTCGTCGTCGGTCCGGTTTTCTGTATTCCTTGTCGAACCAATGTGGCTTGACTGGTCCAACTTTAGGTTACTTGAGGCACAGATCGGGCGCACAAGGATTTCAGTTCCCTTTTAGTGACAATCAAACAGGTTTTAACAGATGAATCCTCCGGTAACGACCAGTCCATCTAATTCGCTGCTCGAGTGAGGCCATGAAAGTCCGCTTTCCAATAGTTGAAGACTGGCTCCAGCGGAGGAGAATACGACAGTGACAGTTCCAAGCTGGCTATGGTCATCGAGTGGTCACTCGCTCCCAGGGGCTTCAAGACCTGAATATCATGCATACGTTGCTCATAGCTGGTCAAAATCAAGTCTAAGCACGATGGAGTCGCGCGCGCAGTTATGTGCGTCCACTGGTTGATGTGCTGTGTGGCCCCAGTTTCAAATAGCAACTCCGCAGACTTCCTCTCGACTTCACAATAGCCAGGGAGGTTCAGCCTCAGGCAACTGTATTCGAGGTAAGCTGAAATCGCCCGTGAGTAGGAACAGCGGACGACTCATGTGGTTGCGGACATGCGGTAACCAGTCCAAACAGCGACTCAGTGGAATGCGATATACCACGTCCACGTGCAACTTGCAGCGTCTGAGGTGAATCGAACACCATAACTGCTCACAAAGACCATGAGCGCTTCGGTCGATGCTCCAGTCTCCCACACAAGGAAGACCTTACGTGAAGCAGAACGCCACCACGATCAGTCGATGGTCTATCACAGCGGAAGCCCGAGTAGCCGCTGATTTCCACTTCATGGGCGGTTACGTGGGAATTTAAGCATGTATCAGCAAGACCTAATAAGTTTGGCCGCTGAGAAGCTATAAAGTAGCGCAGCTCATTGCGTTTGTTCGCAAGACTGCAGGCGTTGACAAACGCTACGCGCAGACCGCGGTAGGAAACGCTGGGTGCTCCTGAAGCATGAGAAACCAGTTGATCCGGATTCGCAGAGGAATCTGGGTAACTAACCGAAAGCTTACAGTACGGAGGTTTTTTTACTATATCGTCTGTGCGTCGCTTTAGTTCATACATCGCAGACTTGAGTTTCTCTGTCTGTTGAGTCTAAGTCAGTGTACACTTGATCTTTAAACTCTTAAGCCTACTAATGATGATGAGGGAATCCGAGCCAACAGCTTGAAAACGACTAAGGAATGTGAACGCATTTCAGACTTCAGCCTCTGATGGAGCATTAAAACTAACCGGCCAAGGCTCAGTCAGCACTAACTGAGTAGGATAGCGTACGTTAACTGGATACCAACAGTCACTCTCGAAAATGCCCAGCCCAGCGAGTCAGTCGGCGCTCTTTAGTGTGATTCAGAGCGACCATACTGTCTCTGATGTCTCCATGACAATTGGTTCCCTTTGACTAATGGTGCGAATCAGTTAGAACAGTTCGTGATAACTGACCACGGCTCACGCATCCCAATTTCTCGAGCACTGCTAGTTTGCCAGACTCGACTGTAGTACGAGCCTAATGGTCAGCTGGTTCCATTGTACTCAGTGCCAGCAAGGAATTCTCTTCTGCATTCCAACAAGCTCACTGACTTCTCGACTATCCGATGAATGATTTGAGGACGAAGAAAAATACCGCAAACATAGGCTCCCGAGTCGTGCATGGTGACCGGGATTATATTCCGCTGAACTACGATTCTTGGAGCAGTCAGGTGAAATACTATATGCAGGGTCATACAGCTAATTTTGTCCCACTAAGAGCTGAGATAACTTCTAAGTTGTCCGACGAGGAACAGGTTTCATATGCTTCACGGCAAAATTTATGGAAAATCGGCACCGAATCGAAGCAGATTCGGAGTCAAAGCACATATTCTAGAAACAGTGGCAGGTCACGATAGAACCGCGCTATGGAAAATTTATAAAAATTTGGTGTATTTAAGTGCATCGCTGGCGAGCCACAGGACGTCCAGTGACACTTAAGCGTCTGCTATGAAGGCCGTGTTACAAAGAAACAGTCAGTGTTAGGCGCAAGATCCCAATAAAAACCAATGTCCACGGGTTCAGAGTCGAGTCCAAACTTACCAACTGCCTGAGCTTCTGAGGAGTTCAGACGATCTGTTTGGGCACTCACATTTACTACAGCGTCCTTAGTAGCTTGAAGGATACAGTCGGTGGAAAGTAAAAGCTGTAATAACCGACAGGGTCTGGAAGAGCTACGCAGGTAAAGTTTGACTGAAGTAGTCAAACGGGCCGCACACAAGTGATTGCTCAAAGGGAAGCCAATCAACCAGCGATGACTCAGCCATGGGGCTGAAGACGGTGTGTAACCCAGCTTGACCTGTAGTTGCCACATTAGCGCCTCCAGATGAGTGTAATCAACAGTGAGAGCATAAGCTAGGTGCGGTTAGCTCGACAGCCACACGAAGGTTTCGGACACGCAACATACCTCCAAACCCAATGTGTGCACGAATGAAGCCCGCTGACCTATCCGTCTGATAAACATGGCGGCGTGACTTTGTAACGGCATGTTGAAGACATGAGTCCAAACGGTACTGATGGGGTGCGGCTGCAGATGGAAGAAATCCAGTGGTACTGCAACTGCGGTCAATTAATATGAAGTAAGCAGAAGATGCAGGATGTGCATGGAAATCGATGATAATGTCATTCATTCACGCTTGAAAGTGTTTTGGGATACTTCCATGGTGCTCCAACCTAGACAACAAAACAAAAGGGATCCTCAACTAAAGCCTTGGCTTAAAAACCTATCCATAAGACAACGGAGAGATGGCAACAATTCGATTATACACAACCAGACGCCATCCGATATCTAACTCCCAAGCTGGAGGGCCAGGAGATTGAGTTCGTCTGACTTCAAACCACTGACCAACCTGGTAGGAGTAGGTCTCAAGGGTCTGAGAGTACAACCCAGTATAATTCAATGGGTCAAAAAGGTGAACAAACAGTCGCACCAAACTAAAGTCCAGTCTCGTCGCATAGAAGTTTGGATATGCTTATTCGAACATGTCAGGAAAAGCAAAATTGGGCCGCGAGGTCACGGCTAGGATGGGATTTCGATAGATGAATAATAATGTGCCAGGATTTGGTCAGAGTCTGAAAACGACTATCAGCGGGAAAATGTACACACCAAGTAAGGCGCAATCGAATTACGCAGAAAGCTTTCCAAAAGAAAAATATAAAAGAATAAAAAGCTAAAGTTATACCATCTTTTAGTAAAGCAAAGAGGGTAAAAGTGGATACGGTGTGTCTAGAAACTCACTCGTATTCTGTAATGGGAACTTCGAAGGGAGTTTGAAACAACATAGGGAGAAGTCGATGTGGTGGACATAAAATCCTCACTTTGGGGAGGCGACAGGGACGCTAAAACGGTGGAAAGATTTGTTCGTTCCACGCTAACGGGTGGTGTCCACAAATTCGCCATAGGAGGACAAGTGGACTTCGGGGTCCTGGGAGAAAAGCATACTAAGATGTGATCGCACAATCAAAACCTTAAAAAGCGCAGAACTAACGCACATAGAGGAGGGGTAAGTGAACATGATTAGTCAATTTGGCCGCGTCGGTTTACGACGATCTTCCCCATCTTTACTGAAAGGTATCTCTTTGATTAATGAACTCGGAGATCTATTCAACCAAAGTCTTTGCACCACGCAATCACACCCCACACCCAGTGTAAACCCGAAGGAATAAGACCAGAAGGCATGTGAATGGGAGCTACGTTTCAGCACCGGAGCCGACCTACACTCCTTCAAAGGCAAACACAAGCACGCTGTATTTGGGGAATCAAGCGCACACAAGGTGGTCACGAGGACCGCGCACTCCGTCCCTTCCAGAAACGAACAACTGTGTCCTAGAGCCAGTATAGACGAGGTAGTGGATAACAGACACGTAGGCACCTTGTCAACATGCACATCAAGCGCAGCTACACTGGGAAATCAAGCAAGAGCCAGTCACTTGTAATGACAAGATCAAATAAAATATATCAATTAAAGCATGAGCATATGGCGACATAATTCTTTGCTAAATGAGCATGTGAAATAAATTGGTTATCAACAAATAAGCGATAAGTTCAAGATGTCAGAAGAGATCTAAAAAGGCCACAAACACGAAACGGTTAACGAGGTTTATTACCTTTCGTTTAAGGGACATGTACAAGTTAATAGATTATTCAGGCAGATATTAAAATGAGGTAAAAGAGAAGCATTAAGACAATATAGCAAACGAACCACCAGAAATAAAGAGACTCAGCACGCAAGCACGCGGTTAGTAAATCGAATGGAAACGCACGCACCGCACCTACTAACGCTGTCGGCTGGTGGCCGAATGGTCTGCCTGCCTGGTCTGAAACCATAAGGTCACCAGTTCCAATCCGCACAGGGGTGGGCGTCCACGCGGTATACTCAGCCAACAGGCGACTAGTGGTAGTCGCGTGGCAGCGAAGCGCCGCTGAGGCGCTAGCGCCTACGACCTCAGCAGGAACCGTCCATGTTTCGATGCTGGTCCCGAGTGGCCTCGATCGTGGCTCACTAGGCCTACCTGACTCAGGTACTCGCGACCGCATGTGCTACAGCCTTATGCGCTCGACGTCTATGGAGTATACTCCATCGGCACCCGTCGCTTCCGCACTTGCTGCTTCTTCTCCGCATGCACGAGGGCTTTCTAGTGCACCTCGGCAACTGCCTTCGTGATCAGATCACGTCATGCACGCCGATCACTCGTCTTCGATTCCCAACGTTTGAAATCAACAATTGAAAGTGATAAGCCCAATTTGTCCCCACACTCAGCTGACCAGAAAACAACTGCTTCGGCATCCGCGTCAAATTCATGAGGCACACAAGACCGAGCCACCTCAAGTGTCTCAGCAAAAGTACGCAGTCCATTGCATATATTCCATTTCGACGCAACATCTTGTCTGCAACTGTGTCGCACAAACGATGCGCAGAATCCGTCGCAGATACTGCTGGTGAAACCGCTCGAGATATCACACATCCCGCCGGTACATCGTCAACGTTTCGCCCTCGTATAGAAGAACGGACAGTAATATGGACTTGTACACCATCAGCTTCGTGGCGACGGTAAGCTGGTGGTTTTTCCACAGTGGGCACTCTAACTTCGCAAATACTGCCGCTGCTTTAGATATGCGGACCCGAAGCTCACTGCATATTTGCTAGTCACTCGAAACCACACTACCAAGGTAGCAAAAGCAGGAGGTAGTTTCCAACACTTCACCACCAATGCTGATTTGCAACACCAATGCAGACTGCAAAAGAGACAGTTTTGCTCGTGTTGATGGTGAGCCCGAATTTGGCTGCTGTCGAAGCCAGAGCACTAGTCATGTGCTGCAACTCATCTGCGCTGTGTGCAAACAACACACAGTCGACAGTAAACAGCAACATACGGACAGTTGTCCCAGAGACTAGAGTTCTCGCACAAAAAGGATGGACGTTCAGTAAGCCACTATCAATACGGTTCTAAACACAAACACCGTAATAACAAAGCGCATCGAACGCACACATCATGGTATGAAGATGAATAGCAAACAGGGTAGGAGCTGACATCCTTGCTTCACACCATAGAAAACTGCAAAATCATCCGAGGTCTGTCCACAGCTGCACCCTCGCCCGCATACCACTGTGCAAACATTCAATTAAACTTACAAACTTACTCGGACAACCAAACTTACCCAGCACCAGGCACAATGCTTCGCGGTCTACCTTGGTGAAATCAATAAAAAAACGGGTACAACGGTTGGCGTAGCTCTCTGTACTTCTCCTGCAACTGACGAGCCGCAAACACCATACCTATAGTGCTGCGACCCGAACGGAATCCAAATTCCTCTTCCGCCACATTCGGTTCCACAACTTGACTGAGGAGGCGGTTGACTAGGATTCGGGAAATCACCTTGCCCCCAAAACAGCAAGTCGATAACGCGATAAATGCTGGCACATTGGTTGTTTCCTTTGCCCTTTCATAGTGGCAGCACAAGAGCATGCTTCAACTCAGGAGGCACTTCCTCCACAATCCATATGCGTTGCACCAATTGGTGCAGCGCATTCACCAACGCGCGTCCACCGTGTTTCAACACTACAGGCGGGATACCGTGGTAACCGGCACATTGCCACTTCGCAGCTGTGAAAGTGCTCTCTGTGTTTCGTCCCTTGTCGATGTCCCCAGACCCACCTTCAGGTCATGCTGTTTCAGGCCGTTCAATGTAGTCCGGTTGTTCAAGAGACTTCCCAAGTGATTTCACAAAATCTGCATTACGTCTGGAGTCTGTGTGCACGTTGCGCCTGAACTACCATCGAGCAGCGTCCTCAGCGGCTCCGACCTCGGACCACACACCACCCTTAAGGAGACAAAGAATTTCTAGTGTTGGCGGCGTTTGGTGTAGCATTCCATCTACTTCGCCTTCTCTGTCCAACATGCATTTTTAATGCGACGGAGCTGTCCAGTCAGTCGTCGTCTAATTTTGTAAAACTGAGTCTTCTTCACCAAGCAGCTGGGGTCTGCCACATATGCAGTAAATACTGCATTCTTCACAGACACCAATGCGCCAACTCTTGCATTGCTGTCATTAAACCAATCGCGCCGCTTACAGTTTGCGCGCCCGATGGTCTTCTCGGCAGAAGCTGTCACCTGGTCGCGAATGAGGTGT